AATATAATTTAACGAAAGATCGTACGATTTTTTGCATTGATGCGCGATGTACGACTACGAAAAATCATTGATATTGAATTTTGATATTCGCACGAAGATATTGTAAAGGGTGTAGTAGAATTTGAAATATCTATGGCAATAACAGCAACGAACATGTTTATTTTTTTATTGGACACCGTTAAATCTCGTCGAGCCGGTCGTTGTTTTTTTTTTTTTTTTTTTTTTTTCGAAACCGTCGAACACTGTCGTTCCTTCGACAAAGGGCTCGGAGTTTCCTTTATTTACTTCAAAGTCATTTAAAAGTGGGTACTTGCCTTGCGGTAGAGTGGAAACGAACGGTTAAGAGCGTGGCGAAAAGTTAGCGCGCGATGATGGTACGCCTTCGTCGAAGGGGTTAAATCGGTCGCAGTTGAGGGTTGAGCGCGTAGCGAGCGCGGGCGCGGCATTGTGCGTCGACGATGTCTTGCGAGAGCGGATATTTTTGCGAGGCAATCGGCACTCGCACGTACGTACGACCCTCTGGAATATATCGAGAGAGTAATCTTCATGCAGTAATCGCCTTGACGAGTTATTTCTGTAACGTTTCCCGCACAAGGGGGGTGAAAACTGCCGTAAGAGATGAGCCGCAAGAGAGGAGGGTGTACAAAAAAAAAAAAAAAAAAAAAAAAAAGAAAAAAAAAAGGAAGAGTGCGACCGCTTGCAAGTGTGCGACCCGTGAGAGATGCCTCGCACGATTACCTACCCAATCTCGAATATAATTTTCTTGTTAGCTGTAAAATCCAATCAACGTTGACGTTGCCTGGCCGCCGCTGCTCGGGTCGACCAACCCCGCGCTCCGTTTTCTTTCTCTCCCCTTCTTGTCTCTTTCGCTCTCACTCCTCCTTTTTGTCGTCCCCTTTTGCTTCTCCCGGGGATCTACACACCACCGGCTCCAGGAATATGCCAACCGGCAACCTGGCAACCAACAGCCAACCAGACCGGGATGAAACGACAGAGAAAGGATCCACGACTGACCGAGATGAAGCGAGAGGATCGAGCGGCAGACCGCTCTCGCAAGAAGGGACGCAACCTGCCACCGAGGAATCAAGTTACCTCGCATCTCCGTCGTGTTACTTCTCACTTATTTCGTGGCCCGCGGCTAATGCGATTCCCCTGACCGTTCCTAACGTCGTTTCGTGGCTACGCCATGCAGCTACCCCACCGGAGCACCGGTGTACATATACCGGGGTAGTATAGCCGCGACGGGCAGGGCAGGCTACCAACTGGCCTGCCCTTTGTTTTCCGCACGGTCCTTTCAATTATTTGCAAATAAAAGACCCCGGCGCACAGGGGTTAGACCCTTTTCCAAGCTTTCTGCTCGCCTCACCCCTTCCCCCTCCTCAACCCCCTTCAACAATCCTCCAACTCACATCTTCCAACCTCACGTTCCAGTTCCGTTACTTTCCTACGACCGACGACCGACACTTTTCGCCCCCTTTCGCCACTCCCTGGGCTTCTCCAAGATTAAAACGCCGTTCCCCGAGAGGGAAGTCTCAGGGGGCGGAGCTTGGCTGATCTCGTTGCATCTATTCAGGCCTCGTTGTTCGCCGCGAATCGTACGCAACGAAAAGATAATTCAGGATAATCAGGAATTAACTTGCTTCTCTTCGGTTCCTTCTTCAATCCTGTCTCGAACTATCTCAAAGATTGATGTAGCGTAACAGCGTTCTCGATTCAAGAGCGAAACTCTCTTTTGAAATTCGAGCAAAGCTCGAGGAAGAGTATCCACAGTCGTCGTGAAATCTTCCAACCAAGGGCCAACCAAGTCGGTTGCCCGTCGTAATTCACCGACTGATGTGAAGCGAGCACAAAGACGCGCGCACTTCCGGACAAACGGAAATAATTACGCGTCATTAAAAATAATTAGCCGTTGTTGTCGCAGGCAAACGAGACAAGACAGATAGCTACGATATCCCCACGGTTCCTTTTCTCTTCTTGGCAATTATTATATCCCTCGTTGCCGTCGTGCAAGTCGATCCCGTCTCGACTTATCGGCCTACCGCGGAACGGAATAATAGGCGCATCCTGCTGCAGGAGATTGAAAGGAAAAAGAGGAGAGTGCCTCAGCCGCTACGTTGGCCTCGCTGCGCGTTGGCTTCGCTGCTAAGGGAAGCGAGTGCCCTCTTCTTCTACGCGCCTCGCTGGCTACAGACCACGGAGTTGAATCAATTAAAGTTTAATCCGGAACCAGCAGGATCGAGCAGAAGCAGCCCCTTCGTCCACCTTTTCCTGCGTCCCTCCCCCCTCCCACCGTTCTCTTTCTTTCTCCCCTTTGCACGATTTCTCCCGCCGCCCTCTTTTTCTTTTTTTTCTTTCCTCCTATCTCCTTTCCCTTTGTTTCGCTCCCTTTTTCCCTCTCTCTCTCTCTCTCT